CTTCCCCAGCCTCAGTCCTGTGCTGACGCCCTGGTGGTTCTGACACCGATGACAGTAGAAGCTGAACAGCGCATCCCTGAATGATCAAATGGGCAGAGCACGCTCAGCACCACTACTGCACAGCCCACATTGAAAAGAGAAGGAAGTCACTTCCACCTTGGCAAGCTACCAGGATGCCACCGGCCAGCCATTTGTGTCCCCACTTGGCTTTACTTTAACTCACCAAGGTCTCTGGCACTTCTCTTAAACAGATACAGATATTCACACCCTACTTTGTTTTCTAGTATGCCTTCCCAGTGTTGCTAACATACTGAAACTATCATATTTCTCTGTATGACTATAATGGACTTCAGAACCTTTTTATTGGAAAATACTTGGATTAAGTGTGATACATTTATATTGATCCAATTCCAGCTACTGTGTTTAAGAAATAGCTCCTGGAAACATTTTCTTTTAGAAAAAAACAACAGTAAAATTAAAAACTCATAAAAGCAAACCATCAGATAAAGGATATGGTTGGGGGGAAAAAAGGGTCTTTTAAAAAAATAGTTTTATTCTTCATTCTTTCAACATTTTTCAAGTACATACAAAAATAAAACCTTTGCAGAGATTTGAGTCTACATTCCAATAAGGGAGAGGAAGACAATGAAGAAACAGTGTAAGTTGTTTGGTGGTATGAAAAAAGAAAACAATTAACATATGCTGGTTTATAAAAAGAACCTTAATATCTGGAGAAAGCAAGACAGAAGCCCTTACTAGGACTAGATTCTAAAGTCAAGAGGTAAACTGAATCCACTCAGAGACACCAAGGATACCCTTGGTGGCTTATTACCTTGGGCATAACTTCTGTGAGCCTCGATTTCTTAACTTGTAAAATGATAAAAATAATCTAGGGGTACTGCAAGAATTGAAAGAAATTATGAATATAAAAATAGTGGCTTAAAAAAATACCTCCAACAAGCTCGGTGCGGTGGCACACGCCTGCACTCCCAGCTACTTGGGAGGCAGTCTCAGGCCAGCCTGGGCAACTTAATGAATCAAAAAAATAAAAACGATGGTGGTGTGGGGGTACAGCTCAATAGTAAAGCACCCCTGGGTCCAGTACCCAGTACAAATTTTAAAAAGGCTAGGGACAGAGTTTGGTGGCAGAACGCCATGGGTTCAATCCCCAGTACTACCAATCAATTAAAAGGAAAGAAAGCAATGTGTTGAGAACAGACCTTCGGTTTTGCTGTTGTTCAACACAAGGATACTCATGTCTGTACTCCACAATACCCCTTAGGAAATGGCCTGTGTGCCACTATACTTAATAGGCACAGAACTCTTTTAGTTCAATGCCAGAACTGTTTTATCTCCAAGTCAAAAGAACAACTACTTGGAGTAACACCAAGACAAACAATGACAAGCAGCAGGCATTTCATAAGCACCTTATTGTTAACATACTCTAATTGTAAATAGTCAATTTTATTAAATAAGTGTCAGAAAATTTTTTAAGTCCTGGATACTCTTTGGTTGTTTTATTCCTTAACTTTAAAAACTTTTATTGCTTCAATTGAAATAACTTTAAGGACTTTCTGCAGCAAAATGGGCTATAAGGAATCAAATCCCTACTTTTAAAAATCCACGAGTAGGTTATTCTCAAAGAAAACTCCAACAAGGGCCTGAAACAGACTATATGGTATGCACGAGCATCCTCAGTGACCCAGTGAACAGAAGTCTAGAGCAGCTATGCTCATCCCACTCTCTCCCAATCTGAGAAACACCACTGGCAACCAAGGCAGGCCACACCGCAGAGCTGCAAGGTGTCTTTGGAGTGGTTATGCATGTGGCCCTGGCTGCTGGCACTCTTTCTCCACCCCTCACCTGTGAGTTTAGTGAAGGACATGCCAAGTAGAGCCAATGGGCCAAATCTCAAATGTCCCACTCTCACTCGGTGCCTGGGGAATAGTGAAGAACAGAACCTAGCCATAACCTGGTAAGAAACCTGGAAGCTTAATCCACACATGAAAAATGACATCACTTCTCACATCTGCAACACCAACACTGTGATGAAAACACACAAGCTTTTATAAAGATACACAAGAGTGTGTGTATGTATGCTACCAGGGATTAAAGTCAGGGTACTAAACTACTAAGCCACATCCCCAGCCTTTTAGATTTTATTTTGAGACATGGTCTCAGCTATGTTGCTAAGGGCTGCCCCAAGTTCTGAGGCTGGCTCTGAACTTGTGATTCTCCTACCTCAGCCTCCTGAGTGGCTGGGATCACAGGCATGTGCCACTGCGCCAAGCAAAGATACAAGTTTTAAGGACAGATCAAACTGACAAGTGGGGACAACTGTGGTCAGCTTTTATATGTTGCCATTAAGTTTTTGCACGACAGGTTTCCTGCATGATGTGAAGGAAACAATGCCAGGAATACAGAGCTCTTCAAACCCGCCTTCAGTCACTCAAGCCAACAGGAAGCTCCAGAGACCTGCAACTGGGACTCTGCTCACTGTGATGCAGTGAGACAGGCTGTGCTGCCACTTCAATCAAAGTCTTTCTGGAAACCTGGCTCCCCAGCACCAACCCCATCAGCCAGTGTCCCTCAGGATTTCATGTGCACACCCACCACAGCTTCTACTGAGACCGGCTACCTTTCCACTGCTCCAGGTGGCGATGTAGCCGTGGGAGGTGAGGTGGCCATAACTCACCAGGTCTCCCTTGAGAGCATGGCACTCAGGTACAAACACACTGCTCCTGCCTCATCTCTGACAAGATCCATACCCAACTGCAGCCTGCAGGGCACTTTGGACAGAGTTCCAATTTACCTTCTCCCCACAGCACCTCCACTAGGAGGAACAAAGGTGGAGTAAAAGAGTGTGAGGCAGAGATGGCCAACAACTCCGACCCACCACCAGCCAGGAATGAGAGCCAAGGGAAGCCACCAGAGGTTTTGACAGAGAGCACCACCCCTAAGAATGCATGGCTCTTCCACTGAGCACACCACACCTGTACCACAGCACTGCCAGAAAGGGAGGCACTGCCCATGTGGTCTCCAATGCAAAGAGACCCCTTGGTAAGGGAGCAAAGAACTCGTGTGTCAACACCAGCTTTTCTTGGTTTTAAGAAAAAATGAGGTGCAGTTTACCTACGCACTACACAGTCAATAAATGAATCTTCACGTGTATTTATCCACGTAACCACCCAGATCAAAATGTAAAACATTCCCATCACCTCAGGAGGTTCCCTCATGCCCCTAGTCAACAACTCTGCCAGCTACTCCATTTCCTGGAAACCACTATCCTCCCTTCTGTCTCCCACATCAAACCTGCCTGCACTCACACATCACCTAAGAAGAAAGACACAGCAAGTGCTCTTCTGGCCTGCTTATTTTGCCCAGTGACCATGAGATTCCTGTGACACTGCTGCAGGTATTTGCCATTTTTATTGCTTATAGTAGATTTCATAAAACTATATCACTCACATATCTACTTTCCTACTGACAGACACTGTGGTCACTGTTCAATTCAGGCATTATGACAAGAGCTGCTACGGGCCTCTTCATGTCTTCTGTGGTGTGCAACGTAGGCTCAGGTCCAGATGCCGCCAACTCATCCTTTAAGTCACTGCTCATCTCTATAACTAGGCCACGCTGGGGGCAAGGGGAGCTCATTGTGGTCCTACTTCTGTGTTATGCAGTCAATCAGGACAAGAGCACCTTCTCATATGCACATCAGCCATTTGGACGGTCTTTATTTGGGTGGGGAGGGTAGCCTCTGTCCAAGTTTTTTCTTCATTTTTACAATATTTTTCTTTTTGATGATTTATAAGAATCTTTATCCAAACGTGTATTTTAAATGTCTTCTCTCATGTTTCAGCTTGCTTTTTCACTTCCTTATTAACGACTTTGGAGAAATAGAACACCTTAATTTTAATGATATTCAATTGATCCACTGTTCTTTAACAGGTGCTGTATTCTGTCATTCTGAACTTTCCCGCACCAGGTCATGAAAATATCTCAGATATTTTCTGCTAGAAGCTGGGCTTAGCTTTCCCCTCACCTTCCCACCAATATCTTTGGACTTCTCACCCTAGTGAAATCCATCTTATCTGAGGTGGTGCCTTCTGACAACACAAACTGAATGCATTAAACCATGCTCATTACTGTTGGCTATTATTTAAAAACAAATAAGCCCCTAATACGAACTAACAAATGACAGAATTGGGTCCTTAACTCCTCTGAGAATGGCTTCGACAACTCCTCGCAGACCTGAGCTTTCATTTTAGTCTCCAACAATGTAGCTCACCTCCAAGACCCCACTGCACACACAGCGATCATCTGCCACCAAAGCTGAAAGACAATTCACCATTTCTGATAAACAAGTGCTGAAACTAGACACACTCTGAGCAGACGGCAAGTGAGCACGTGTCCCAACCTTGCTACAAGTCCTGGGTACACCCGATTGGCATAGCACCTCTCTCAGCAATGGACTTGGGTTCAGAAGAGGACAGAGAAAGGACTGAGAATTCTGAACATTCATTCAACTCATGGGACAGCGATGACCACCAAAATTCTTTAAAATAAACAGATAAAATCCAACCCTATCCCGAGGCTCCCAGATGGAGTCACAGTGGGAGACATTTGGGTTCATCTGGCTGAGGGACAAACTCTCCTCCATGAATTACCAAAGTACAAACTGAGAATCACCATGAGACTTTCCTTTAGTGAGAAATGAGATGTGCCCTGTCTACTGAATAAAACCAAGAAAGTTCATTCTACTATCTTTATATTTTCAATTATCTTATTATATCAGTCAGAAACTATTGTTACATAGTCAGAAAAATAAAGCCAACTGAATGTTTTCAGACTGTCTTCACATTACCCAAAAGACCTTGTTTTTTTTAAACAGCCAATGTGATTTTACCAGATATCAATTAAAATTCATGCAACTCACACATAAATCATGTAGCATTTTTTCTAAAACACAGCTGCCACTGAGGTGAAGGCAGACTCACCCGTGGTGATGGCTCGGTGGAACTGATGCATGTCTTCTCCTGACAGCTCCTGGGCTACCTGCAATATTTTTTGTCTGACACCATCCAATTTAACTTCTGATTCAGTGAGTATTTCTTCCATATCAGGAGCACTATAATTAAGATATTGGAAACTTTCAGAACTTCAGCCAGATGCTTTAATAATGAAAAACCAAAATCATCCAAATATGAATTAACTGGGACTAAATATCTATGTATTTAGATACTTCTAATCCTTATCTACAATTATATTTTATTAATAGGATGGAAAATGTTGTAATATACTACTAGGTACAAAAATTGATTTTAGACAGATAAGAAAAAGATCAACTGCCACATTCAATGAATATGTATGGCATATCTGCTTCCAGTTAATGGAATAAAAATTAGAGTATTAGAGACTTATCTTAAAAGTTCTAAATGGTGGGGCATGCCTGTAATCCCAGCTACTCAGGAGGCTCAGGAGGAGAACTGCAGCCTCAGCAGCTTAAGGACCCTCTGTCTAAAGAAAATAAATAAAAATGGCTAGGGATGTAGTTCAATAATAGAGTAACCCCTGGACTCAACACCCAGTTTTAAGTTAGGGTTAGGGATATGGCTCAGGGATGGAGCACTGCAAAACACTGGGTTTGATTCCCAGTATCATGCAAAAAAAAAGTTTTAAGTTAGTGAAGGAATATCTCAATAATGCTTTGGATAACAAAAGGCTATCACAGTTGGCCTTACCTAATGCTTGATAAGATACACAGTGGAACATCAATCACAGCTATCCCTCTGGAGTGGCATCTAGAATTTGCAACTAGAATCTCTTTTGGAACAGGACCCAGACATATGAGCTGGGGGCTCCAGGGCAGGCACCTTCTACCCCACATGGAACAGAGAAGCAAAGGAAGCTGGCCAAATGAAGTATGAAGCAAAGGAAGAGGCAACAGTGAAAACTGGGAGACACACAGCAGCATCTGCATAATCACTGCCGCGCACTTCCCTGCTCTGTTTAGGCTACTCTAAGGTGGTTTCTTTACTTTCAGCAAAGACATCAAATACAGACAGTCTGCCTAGAACAAGAACATAGTAAGCTGGGCGCAGTCGCACACGCCTTTAATAGCTCGGGAGGCTGAGGCAGAAGGATCATAAGTTCAAGGCCAGCCTTAGCAACTGAGCAAGACCCTGTCTCAAAAAAGGGCTGAGGATGTGGCTCAGTGATTAAGCACCCTTGAGTTCAATCTTTGGTACCAAAAAGGAACAATGTAAAGTCCTAAAGGAAGACAATAACAGAAAAGTCAAACAAAGAAGAGCTTTCAAAGACAAGCAGTTGACAGTACCACGTGCTACAACAGGTAGAATAAAACAGCAGTGTATATACTACAGTTAACAGTATGAAGGTAACAGAACAACTTTAACAACTGAAAGAGTGCAATGAGTTGGAAACAAATGAGAATGACCATACCTTAACATTTATTTAATATTAAATTTTCACACCTATTAACAAAGTAAAATTTGAATGTATTAGGCTCTAATAAATAATCCAAATTTTATTTTCCCAAATAGCTATATCTGAATGATTGATCTTCATAAAACAGAAAATCCCTGGCTGCTCCAAAATCAAGAATTTTCCCCACCTATTTTTAACAAAACATTTAGTTTTAAAATGTACTCTCTGATCCCAATATATTCCAAAGACACCACATCTGACAGCAAGTGACTGTTCATTGAGGTATAAAAAACATATGTAATTGTATCCAACTGTAACAAATTTTAAACAGGCTTACGCACCTTGTAATCCTATGGAGGAGAAAAATGGTTCTTTTACTTTCAACGGTTATGTCCCGGCTGAGTTTCACCAGCCTCTCATACTTGTCATGCCGCGCATCCAGCTCCTGCTGAAACGCTGAAAACACAGTTGACCGTAAGCAGGCGGGCGCTCACACAAGCCCTCATGCAGCAGGCCGCAAGGCGAATGCAGACCTGGTCGAAGCCACCTGCCTTCACTTGACAAGGAACATGAGCAGAACATGCAGTCACTTAGTCTCAAACCAGGAGGGAGGACACTGTCCTCCAAATACCTTTCTGTACATGACAAGGAGGCACAGAAACACACCATTCCTGAATCCCTGAGGCTAACAAAGCTCATGAACTGCATTAAAGCAGCACTGGTGGACTAAAATGAAGATGAAAGGAGCTTTATGAACCAAACCTCAGTTCCTTAAAAGCTAAAAATATGACTATCACACGTAAGTATCTAGTAACATCCCAGTCAATTTATTATAAATCATGTGAACCTGGGGGCTGGGCTTGTGGCTCAGCGCCAGAGCATGTGCGAGGCCCAGGGTTCGAGCCTCAGAACCACATAAAAATAAAATAAAGATATTGTGACCAACTACAACTAAAAAATAAAATATTTTTAAAAATTAAAAAAATAAAGAAACCATGTGAACCTAAAATGCACATTATTTCACCTTGTTACTATACTGCATTCAAACCAAATGTACTTGAAAAAATACTATTTTCAAGAATTAAAGAGGGAAAAAAAGATTGAAAATTCACAATCATTATGATTGTGAGCTAAACCAAACAGTATTCAGCAAAGACCAGCTGAGAACTGAGTCAGACAACACAGGATGTGAGAAACC